AGGAGCAGGCTCTACGTCCCAACCCCCTACCAGGAGGACCAGGATTTTCTGTTAGGGTTTACTCCCTTAGTCGAGAGAAGAGTAGTAGAGTGTAGTAGACAGAATTATAGTGGCCCGTCCGCCCTCGGATTACCCTAATAGCCACTCGGGGTCGGAAAAACAAGAGTTTGCCAAGAGAGGCCGATAGGAAAGATTAAAGACATTTCACTCCAGACAAGTTGAAAAAGAGCAAAATGTGAAGGCCCTTATGATCCGCCAGGTACGTTTCATAAGCGTATGAGTAGTGGTACAGTTTGTATTCCCGCTCATACCTCGGGGTGTCGACTACAGACTGTATGGCTCGTCCAGCATGCCATAGCATGGAGGATAGGGTGCATGTCATTTTTACAATGTAGACCCCTAAACTCCACGGCCTGACAAATAACTCAGTAAATAAAACTTTAAATCTGATACAAAATATTGATTGACCTTAGGTAATTTAATTAGTTTTTTACCTTACAGTTTTCTCCTAATAAATCTGGTAGAGTATTTGGTATATTGTTTATTAAACGTTCTCTATGGAATTTTGGACACTCAATTAACAAATGTGCGACGAAAAGAGGCGTAGCACATAGATCGCAGAGGGGGCGTTCACTGGCCGAAAGTAAAAAAGAGTGTGTGATCTTAGTGTGTCCTATACGTAGGCGCGTTAAAACCGTTTGAATAAACCGTGTACTAGCACTAGTTTTCCACTGTCGTGTATCTGGTTTTAGCGATCTTAATTTAGATTGCGATAGAAAGCATTCGCGCTGCCACTGACCAATCACTTTTTGTTTAAAACACGTTTTGAGATCTCTACATACACTGTCACGCACTAATTCAGATTCCGCACTTGTTGCTGCATCACGAGCACTACTGTCTGCCTCTTCATTGCCGATAATTCCAATATGCGATGGGATCTATATAAATTTAGGGGTTATGTGGTTCTTTTGGGCGATTTGTAGTTCAGTTTTTATTAGTTGCTCCAGGGGCTGTTTAGGATACAGATGCTATATTGCAAGAAGAGAGCTGAGCGAGTCCGTGAAAAACAGAGGTTTTGAAATTCTTAAGAGGTTTGCATATTTTAGGGCACAGTACAAAGCAAACAGTTTAGCGGCGAAAACACTTGAGCTAGGTGGTAGTTTAAATTTGAAAGTAGGCGTTGGAGTAACAAATGCACAACCAATGCCTTCATTAGATTTAGAGGCATCGGTAAAGATATTTGTGCAGTTAAGGTAGTCTCGTCCAAGAATCTCGTTTAGTTTATTTTTAATTAGTATGTTGTTATTGTATTTTTTGGAGAACTCTATTAGAAAAGTGTTGCAATTTGGGATGCTTATTAACCATGGAGCCGGATGTTGGATATAACAGTGAAATACATTTAGGATTGTTGTATCAAAATTATTCAGAATTGATCTTACTCGTGTGTAATAAGGTTTTCCAGTACGAGGTTTATTAAAGAGAAAGTCAAGATTATTTTTAGAAAAAAGTATTTTCGAAGAGTGGATGATCCTTATTAGCAGCTATAGAAGAAGCGTGTAAAAGTGTTCAAAGTGCCCGCCTATACTGCAATGATGGTTCTCCAGTTTCAAAATAAGCTTTTTATGGGTGAAGTGTGAAAAGCTCCGAGAACGATCCGAAGTGCGCCATTGTGGATTGTATCTAGCGGTTTTAGGGTACTCTTGGTTGCAGAGGCATAAACAATTGAGCCGTAATCGAGTTTGGATCTAATTAGTGTTTTATACAGAAGGAGTAGTGTAGAGAAGTCAGAACCCCAGACACGATTTGATACGGTTTTAAGCAAATTGAGTCTTTTGTTGCATGTTGGCGCCAAGTGTTTTATGTGCTTTTTCCAGGAAAACTTTTGATCCCGCCACATACCAAGGAATTTCACGGAGTTTTGGAATGGAATGATGCTGTTGTGAAGATAAAGGATTGGTGTAACATCCATTCATCTAGTTGGGTTAGAAATGTCTGTGCTATTCTGCACATAGATTCCTTTTGTGCTTCTTTAATATACACCACTAAATCGTCGGCATAGGGGCGAGCTTTGGGAGGTTTATGTAATTTGTTTAATATGTTGTTTATGGCAACTAAGAATAGGGTAGGACTAAGTACTGAGCCTTGTAGGGTACCGTTTTCTACAGTATAAAAATCAGAATAAACGTTGTTAACTCTTACTTGGAAAGAAAAGTCTTTTAAGAAATTTTCAATATAGGCTAAGCAGTGTCCTATAATATTGAATGCGTGCAATTTTTTAATGATGTTGAATCTCCAACATGTATTAAAGGCTTTCTTTAGATCGAAAAAAATAGCTATGCACATTTGATTAATTGCTAACGCTTCTTGGATATCACTTTGTAAGTCTACGATGTTGTTAATTGCTGACCGGTTACGTCTTAAGCCGAATTGCTCTGATAAGAAGAAATGAGATTTTTCCAGTGTCCACATAAGCCTAAAAATTGACTATTTTCTCCATTAATTTAGCCATGGCACGTGTTAGAGAGATGGGTCGGTATGATTCTGGATCAAGTCGAGGCTTTCTGGATTTTAAAAACGGAAAAAATTGTGGCATTTGCCCATACAGACGGATATTGTCGTTGCTGCCAAATTTGATTGAAAATTTGCAAAAGATGTTGTTTTGGTAAGATTGATAAATGCTTTAGGAATAGAACAGGAATATTGTCGGGTCCTGGACTTGAGGTTTTCATATCTTGTAAGGAGTTATTTAGTTCTGTAATAGTAAAAGGTTGAGATAGGGGGTTTTCGTGGGATTCTTCTAGAGACAAGATGGTGCGTTCTTTCTTTAGCTTGTAGTCCCTAAAATTATTGTCGTAGTTTTTGCTAGAGGAATGTTGTTCAAAGGTAGAAGTAAGAGTTTCAGCAATATCTTGTAAAGAAGAGACTGTGGTATTGTTTATTTTAAGAGTGCTAATTGATGAAGAATACTTTAAACCGGATATTTTCTTTAACCTTTTCCAAACTTCGTTCATTGGAGTAGAACTGTTTACTTCTGAGACGCATTTTGACCATGAGGCTTTTTTTGAATTTTTTATGATTAATTGGGCTCTAGCTTTTAACTGTTTGAATTCTATTTTACTTTCTTGAGTTTTGTGCAGTTTAAACCTATTTAGAGCTTTTTTACTTTGCCGTATTGCTTCTTCGCAATCCTTATTCCACCATGGTAATGGATGATGATTGTGAATTTTTTTGGTTTTTTGAATGTAGAGTTCTGCACTTTTCAGTATCAACTCATTAAAATTGGTGATTGTTCTATCGATATCACAGTAATTTATTTCACAGCTCTCTACGGAATTATCAATATATGTTGAAAAGCTCACTCAATCAGCATTTTCTGTTTTCCATTTTAAGACAAAGGTGTCTTTTGGTCCGGTATGGTGTTAGTACTGCAGATTTTTATGGGGTAATGGTCGCTGCCGTAGGTAAACGACAACACTTCCCAGGATAAGCAAGGAGTTAAAGTTGGATCACAGAGACTTAAAGTCAATTGGCGAGGATTCTCCTGATGCTGTGTTGAACCTCGTTGGGGTTCCATCATTAAGAAAATTTAAATTAACATTATGTATTAGGTTTTTTATTATTCTTCCCATCGTATTTGTGTTAGCAGATCCCCATATTATATTGTGTCCATTAAAGTCACCGACGACTATACGTGGTGTTGGAATTTTGTGTAAGAGGTGCAGCATATCTGCATAATTTACCTGTGAGTTGGGAGGAATGTAGATATTACATAGATAAAATGACATTAAGGAATCAATTTTGATGACTATGGCTTCTAAATTGCTTACTATGGGAAATAAATTTGCATTGAGAGATTTTTTTTACCAATGTCATAACACCACCACTAGCATGGTTAACAAGCATCCTGTCTTTACAGAAGCATATGTATTGTTTAGGATTGCATTTCTGTTGGGGTTTTAAATTGGTCTCTTGTAGACAGATTATGTCTGGACAGTTTTCGGCAATGATAATTTGTAGCATACCCAAGCGATGGAAAAATCCATCGATATTCCATTGTATGACCGAGTTGAAAATAACAAATAAAAAATTTAAATAAGAAAAAAATAAAAACTAAACGATAGCAGCTAATAAGTGCTGGTTTATGATGCATCACTTTCAAATTCAAAGCCCACCTCTCCAAGATAAGCAAATATTTTTTTGTTTAAGTTGTTTAGTCTCGCTTTTTGACTGTCTTTTAAATAGGGACGGATTTGTTTTAACATGTGAAAGAGACCTTGCAAATCAGATGTGAAATCCTTGATCGAGATTATGGGATTAGATAAGCCGGCAGTGTTGTCTAGTAGAAGGGCTAATTGTTCACTGTTCAGTAGAAATGGTGGTTCGTGATTATTAATAAAGGTTTTGGCTGGTTCTATCATGGATGAAAAGGATAAATCGGAATGAATTTCTTCAAGTTTAGTTTTCTTTGGCTTTTTTCGAGTTCTTGTGGATTTTGGTGTCACAAATGGGCTTTCTTGAGGTGCAGTGTCAGTTTCTGGAGAGATGACTTGATTTATAGAGCGTTTTGAATGCGTCTTTTGGATATTATGTGGAATGGTCGGGCATACGTTTGACATAACAATTCTTTCACCAGGTGTTATAAGCCGTCTAGCTCTTAAAACTTCTCCTCGGATAGTGATTTGACCATGGTTATCTAAAAACTCATCTAGAATATTTTTGTTGGAAAGGTACATGCAAATTCGGTTGTTGGAAAGGCGGGAGGCGAAAATGATATTTTTTGGTTGAACTATATTACCAAGATGACTTAGGTAGTCTTGAAGTTGAGTATTTTCAATTGCACTAAACACTAGTGCTTGTTCTTTGGAAGGAAATTTAAATTGATTGGTCACTGCTGAGTAGCTTTTTGGTACAGTTCTTTTAAGTTGAGATGATTCGGAGTCAAGTTTTTGTGCATTACTTAAATCCATGTTTGCTTTGGTAAAATTATTTTAAAATAATAGATGTTATCCGCAAGAGTGAGTGCGGCTCTGTCCCCTGATGGGAACCCAACCAGTTCTTATCAATTTAAACCTCGATTGAAAAATTTCTTGGTTAATATAATATTATTGGTAATATACAATAAAATGTTTGTTATTTGCAATAATTAAGTGAAAAATAATATCTCATTGATCACTTACTGCCTTTTTTTATTGATATGCACATTTTTCACAAAATAAATCAGACTATTTACTTGCACTTTTGCATAAATTACGATCATAACTAAAAACACAGGTTAACTTGTGCTCAGTCACGACCGGTCTCCATACATATTATTATTATTATTGTAAACTAATGTATATACGCTAATTCTATCAACTATCACATTAATCTAAATACGCTTAGGACCCTGCGTGGTTGATGCGTTATTAAAATAAAAAAAAATGCTTGTAAAATTATACTGAGTTTGAAAGAAATGAAATATTGCTGAAAAACATATACTACCTGTATATTACTAACCATTACTAATTAATATTTTTATTTTAGATGTGGGGTATTTTTCTTCTGGTTATCATAGGTTTGTTGGTACTAGGTGTATATCAAATAAATATTTACTTCCGACAAAAACATAAGTATTGGCAAAAGCGAGGTGTTTTCTCTCCAGAAGTAGCACCGATCATAGGCCATTTTCTAGACGTATTTCTCTGCAGACAAAACATAGTGGAATATATTAAGCAATACTACGACAAAATAGACAAACCATATTTTGGATTATATGTATTTGATGAACCGTTTTTTGTAGTGAAAGATGCACTTTTGGCTAAACAAATTTTGGTCAAGGACTTTAATCATTTTAGGGATAGAAATGTCGCATCACCAGATCATAATTTAATAATACAGAACTTTATGTTCAACCAAGTAAGTAAAAACATGTTTCATTTATTTATAAAAATAATACCGATTCAAAGACAAACATTAAATTTATAAATTTACAATGATATAATATAAGATTTGCAATGCTGTACCTCTGAGCTAAACTGTATTAAATCCAAATAGGTAAAGAAATAATAAATAAGACTTACTCACAATCAATTTAATTTAATTATCAGACGACCGGTTTCGCTTTCTACAATATGCAAAGCATCTTCAGGTCTCGATACAAAGTTAAACAAATGCTGAAATGATAAAAACCCATATTAGGGTGTTGTCTAATAAAGATAAACAAAGTAGATGTTGAAAATTACAATAATTATGCCAATATTACATGTCTCTGGTTTTATTTCTAAAAGAGTAAGTTGAATAAAAAGGTTTAAAAAGTTATAAAAGTTTAAACAGACAAGGTAAGGCCCACAAATTGTTATAAAATAGTCTATTAGATTGTAATAAATTAATAAATGAGCAAATAAATAAACATTACTTACATGCCGGTACTCTATTAATTGATAGATGGTAGAACATGGTTCAAACTACTATGTATTGTTGAATGGAGAACTCAATTCTGCTATTGTAGTTGTATGACAGTAAACGGGAAGTTCCTGAGGAGATAGATTTGATCCAATGAAGCAGAGATATGTGTGTGATTGTTTGTTAAATAAAAGTGATGTAATATACCATTGTATTATTAAAAGTTATTTATACTTATTCCAGAGATATATTTATGAAATGTGTGTTATTTATTGAGTAATTGTTTTATGAAGGTGACAGTTTTATGACAATGAATAAGTTTAGATGTACAAATTGTGTGGGTGTGCAATTATTTTTCAACTTGTAGTTATCATATCTCTTTGATAAAGTTCTATTGAATCATCAAATGTTGTTCTATTCAAATTATCAAAGAGATTTGATAACTACAAGTTGAAAAATAATTGCACACTTACACAATTTGTACATCTAAACTTATTCAATGTCATAAAACTGTCACCTTCATAAAACAATTACTCAATAAATAACACACTTTTCATAAATATATCTCTGGAATAAGTATAAATAACTTTTAGTAATACAATGGTATATTACATCACTTTCATTTAACAAACAATCACATACATATCTCTGCTTCATTAGATCAAATCTATCTCCTCAAGAACTTCCCGTTTACTGTCATACAACTACAATAGCAGAATTGAGTTCTCCATTGAACAATACATAGTAGTTTCAACCATGTTCTACCATCTATTAATTAATAGAGTACCGGCATGTAAGTAATGTTTATTTATTTACTCATTTATTAATTTATTACAATCTAATAGACTATTTTATAACAAAAAAAGGTTAGTCTTCGTAAGTGTGTATATTTATTTAAAAACCATTAAAAGGGCTACATAAAAAAAAACAAACGTTTTCGGACTAAACAGTCCATCATCAGGTTTAAAATCGCTTAGGTTAAAATGCTTGAGCCACCAAAATACATGGGTAAAAACCCTTTAAATTACATATAGTTATAAAAAATTATACATCTTGATGTTAAAAAACTGTGACGTTCAGTATTAAATTAAATATTTAATTTAATTTAATAACTTAATAAAATTAAAGAAATTTGAATAAAAATGTTATTGGTCAAATATTAAAATCTCTGATTCATTTTGTCATCTCAAATTTCATTATGATCATAGATAAATAATATAATAGTAGAAATAGATAGGCAACTTAATGTATAAATTTCGTTCATTAGGCCCCTTGCGGCTGGGGTCAATACTAATCATCTTTTGGCGGAAAATTCGAATGAACACCCCATACATACATACCCTTTAGCGCCTCTTGTGGGCTATTTCGTTACTAATTAAAATTTATTGGAAAATAAGGATATAAGATGCACAATTTTTTCTAGATATACGTATATTTATTTGTTGTTTAAGATAAAACAGTTATAAAATAATTACATAATATTTATTACACATATTTGCAGAAGTTAAATACTATTATATTTTGCTTCCTGACAACTTACTATCATTCTTTTTGTAATTTCTTCATGATTTGTACACAACGAACAATACAATAATTCACCATGTTTAGTTTTGTTACTAGCACAACACAAAAATTCTTTGCTACAATAGGTAACTCAAAATAAACTTTAAAAATTAAGTAACCAAATTTAAATTAAAATTACTACGAATAAATGCAAACGAAAGTTAAAGATAATAAAATAAAATTGAAAACTTGTAAACAAACGGAAGATCTGTCATTAATTTGGATTGACAGAATTGACATTGCTTCGTTTGATTATTTTATTTGGTTTATGATTGGTTAAAGTCTTCGTGAGAGAGATAGGCTGTCATTTCTTTTTATTAACTCGCTGGGGTCAAAGTGATGGGGGAATAAACCAAGTCATTCATATAAGATTCCAGGCCATGATTATGATCAAAAAAAATTTTTCGTCAAACGTCAAATAATCATGACATTACTTATCTAACTTGATCCTGTCAAAGTTTGATGTCTCCGCCGGCAGCAGTTTTTTTTCCATTTCTTTACGGCGGAGGGAAAAATGTTGTCATGGCAACAATATGAAACGTCACAAAGCAAAAATACAAATATTAAAAAAAAACAATTAAACATAATTTTTATTTATAGTAATATTAAAATTACAATTATTTAATGAGGCATTTTCAAAATTGAAACCGTGCCAAAATGTTCCCGACTTTTGATACGTATTGGTAATTGTTGATGATACTGATGGTGGAGAACAACTTTCAGAAATCATTCCCGATGTTGGCGGCTTGCGAACAACAATATATTGTTACGTCTTTTTATTGTTCTAATTTATTTGTCTTTATTCTAATTTATTGTCTATATTCTAATTTATTAAAACTCACGATAACTAATTACGAATTTATTAAAGTCTTTATTAATCCTAATTACAAATAATTTATTTTCGCTTCGTTACAAGTAAACCGCGTTTCCCGATCTTCTTATGACTAACTGCCAAATAAGAAATCTTTCATTTATATACACAACTGTTGCTATCTCGAAATTTCGGCGGCCTTCTATGGAATAATCTCGTACTTTGGTGAAGGCGCTCAACTCGTTTTTCAACCTCGAGACGTAGATTACTCATAAAATTAGGGTCTAGATTATTCTGTAAACAACTGGTATCGAAGCTCAGGTAGATTTTGACCTAGAAATTACGAGAATCAATAAAAAAAGAATTCGTCATAAAATATTTACAGTTCTATATGCCATAACATTTAAAATCGTAACATTGCCCCCCTCTTAAAAGATGGTTCCTCCTGGAACCTTGTCGGGACTGGAACTGGAACGACATGCTGATATCGACAACTGGACCCTCTTTTACAACTTCCAGTTGTATAGAAATGACAAGGGACGGTTTTCTCTCCGCACCAGTAACTATGCGGATTGCAACAAACTAACACCTGGACTTCGGTGTCTTTAAAGATTTCCTCCACCATGTTTCGTATAACCCTCCAATCTAATTGGCGGCACTCCAACTTTGGCATGGCTAACTTTTGCACGTCGGACTCTAGTACGTGCTCTCTCAACTGAAGTAAGGCTTCCCATACATCTCGGTAGGTAGGTTGGTCACGGGCAGTGTCTTTTGTTACCAGGTAAAAAAGGTAACGTGATGCATCTTGAAGTTTCAAGGTTTTACCAGGAGCTGGCACTTGGCATTGAAGTTCTGCAACTCGACCAAACTTCCTTCGAAAGACGGATGCCAGCCCTGGTGCATCTTTGATACTGGCCGGGATGGTAAGGGCCAGTGAGTAGTCATCGGGAAGCGCGAGTAGATCTTGCCTTTCTTCAGTGGTAACACCATGTCTTGCTTTACCGGTACCTCCATAGGCACCCATGAATTCTTCAAACGTGAGGTCAGACACATCTTAGACTTGGTTTACTTCCACTTCTTCATCTACGTCGTGGTCACCCTCGAAAGACGCCAACCGGTTATGGTGTACTATCATCGGCTTTCCTCTCGGAATCTTGCTTATTCGGTAAATAACATCATTGATCTTCTCCATAATGAGGTATGGACCTTCCCAAAACTGCTGCAATTTGGGAGAACAACCTTTTCGCTTTTTGGGGTTATAAAGCCAGACTTTATCGTTCTTCTTAAAACACCCCTTTTCGGCTTGTGTATCGTACCGTTTCTTCATTCGGTCACTAGCGATTTGGAGATGGGAACGGACCAACTCGTGTACATCGTCCATTCTTCTTCGTAATTCGATCATATAATCTTCACCTGCTACATCTTCTCCAGGTCGACACCCAAACTCTAGATCACAAGGTAGTCGCATCTCGCGTCCGAATAGGACTCTGGCTGGTGTCTGGCCTGTTGATTCATTAACAGCAGATCTGTAGGCCATTGTGAAGAACGGAAGATATTGGTCCCAGTCTCGCTGATGATCGGACACCATCTTTGTCAAATACTTGCCAACTGTTCTATTCATTCGTTCTACCATACCATCCGATTGCGGATGATAAGCCGTAGTTCTTGTTTTCTTCATACCTAGTCTATCACATATTCCTTGGAATAAATCGCTTTCGAAGTTCCTGCCTTGGTCACTATGGATCTCCAAAGGCAATCCAAATCGGCTGATATATTCTTGGATCAACTTATCTGCAACGGTGGCGGCCTTCTGGTCTGGAAGTTGTAACGATAAATATTTTGCCTACCACAGGGGCATTAATATAAGGTAGAAAATTGGGGGAAGAAACTATTGGGGGTGGAGATAGGGCAAGCAAAATAATCGCTACTGATGCGAACGGACACTCAGGGTTTCGTAGGAGAGCTGGGGTCGTGGATAAGTAAAAGATAAGGGCATTGGAATGGGGCAACTACAAAAAAATGAAATAAAAGGCTCTTGGGATAAACAAAATAAAAATTAAACAAGAAACACCTCAAGGAATTTAATATAGGGCGCCACTTGAGGTGCCTAATTATGCCTATTACAACCACTAGTTGTAAC